TATGGCAAACAAAAGAACAGGTGTGTATAGGAGCATGGCCTGCCCACACCAGCTTTAGCTTTTTCTTTCTTTTTTTCTTTTCTTTTCTTTTTGGTACCTGGGATCAAACTCTGGACCTTGCACTTTCGAGGCAGGCAGTGGAACCACTGAGCTAAATCCCTGGCCCCACACCAGCTTTTTCATGGGATGTCCTAGGGGGAGCCATATCTTTACTAGGGAGATGGTAACTGATATCTGGGGTGAGGTGGGTTATGGCTAAGCTGGAAGAAGCAAGAGCCATTCTGGACACTGGAGAGGAATGCAAGAGGAATTGAAAGTAGGATTTCCATGTCCACAGCATTTTCTAGGGAAGTTAGACCCTGGAAGACAGTGGAAATTATATGCTTAGATTATACATATATGTTTAAAAATTAAAAATAAATACTGGTTACAGCTGCTGGGTTTTAATTTTTTAGATATTTTCTTTGGTTCTTTTATTTATTTTTTATTTTTTATTTTTTTTGGTACCGGGGATTGAACTCAGGTTCTTTGGTTCTTTTAATGAAGAAAACTATTCTGACACTTATTAGAATGGTAAAAGAAGATTACCCAAGTCTACTATAATGAAGAGTATTGCAATAGGGGAAAGAGATGGGATTCAACAAAGATGAATGGGGATTTATAGCCATGAAACAGAATAAGGGGGTCAGTGGGTGGATGGAAAATTACTAAGAAGTGACATCAAGGGTGATGGACCTTGCTAAACTGACCTAACTTATATGTTTCTCTTGCTAAAGATAGACCATGGTGCCCAGATACCAATGGTGGGATGATTCTTGACTTAGCAGGATTCTTACTACATCTGGACAAGACAGGCTAAAGGGAAGACTCAAAAGTGGGCACCTAGTTGGCAAAAAGAATTCAAAAGTTTGGTCAAGAAGAGAGTTTTGGGCCAGGGATTTAGCTCAGTGGTTCTGCCACCTGCCTCACAAGCACAAGGACAGGAGTTCAATCCCAGGTATCAAAAAAAGAAAAAAAGAAGAGAGTTTTGTCAACCCATATGGGTTATAAATATAAGGAAATTAAAATAAGACACAGTATAAGACATAACATTTATGTTTAATAAACAGAAAATACCTTCTCAAGAGATATAACAACCTAATGAAATATGTAATCCCGGGTTGGAATCTGATCAGAATTTAGTTTTCACTTTTAGCATTAGGTTGACACTTTAGATTAGATAATAGTGTCGTATTGATGGTTATGTTCTAATTTTGACTATTATGTTAGAGAATGTCATTGTTGCTAGAAAACAGAAGAATTTGTTAGTAAAGAAGCATTATTTCTTCAGGTTACTCTAAAAGGATTTAGAAAGATATCTATCTATCTATCTATCTATCTATCTATCTATCTATCTATCTGGTGGGATAAAGCAAACATGGGTAAATGCTGTCATTTGGGGAAACTGGGTGAAAGTATGTGGGAATTCTTTATATAACCTTTACAACTTTTCTGTAAATTTGAAATTATTTCAAAATGAAAGTTAAACTAGCAAAAAAGAGAAAAGCTACAAAAATTTAAAGGACCTTTCCTAGGAAGTGCTTCTCAATATAGATTGCATCTCACCCAACCTGACCTACAGTAAGTAGGTGACATGGACAATGGTTTCCTTGAATCTATTCCTCAATCATTTCTTACAGCCTCTTCTCTCTTTCTCCTCTAGAGGCAGCATTGCTGGGTAGAATGCTCCTGAACTGACTTCACAAACTTCCATTCAAGTGTTGCCTCTGCTACTACCCAGCTATGGGACTTTGGTCTTTTCTGCGGCCATTGATATCAGATTTCTCATCTATACAATGGTCACAACAAATGAACTGCATTGTTATCACTAGGAACATATAGCGATGCATTTATGAATTGTTTTTAGAAGGTGCTCTACAAATGTCAATTGCCCCTTTTCTCTTCTTAAAATGGCCTCTCAACATCCTTGGGAAAGAGGTAAATAAACATGATCTTCAGATAATATCTTTATACTTTATTATAGTATTACAACATTTAAAATCAGCAATTTATAATGTACCAGTAGTATTACTGCACAGTAACCCTTTCATGAATATTGTTCATGGAGCAACATTTGCTTGCATCTTTTCTCATCTGATCACCTCAATGTTCGTATGGAATAAAAAGGGCCCATTATTATCCACCTTTCATAGATTTGGAAACAGAAGCACTCAAGAGTTGAGGGATGTGGTTTCTAAATTGGCTAAGTAATAAATGAGTCTGGCAATGCATCCTATTAAATTTTGGCAAGGTAAAGTTTACTGTTACACTTATATCCAAAGAAGTAAATTTCAAGTGAGGCTCACAAAGTTCATTGGATCTATGCCTTTGTGTGTAATCATACTCAGGATTCTAAGATAACATTTTGCTCATTCAGTGTATCTATCTTTAAGGGAGACCTACTAGGTACTAAGCATGTGTTAAGCCCTCAGAATACCAAGATGAGTAAAGAGCTTGAAACCTTGTGGGAAAAAAGCAATGGAACAAAAAATCTACTTTCTTTAAAAATACTCTGTAGTACTCACTGTTGCAGATCCATTCTCATCTTGATTGCTCTTAAATTTATAAAAGTTTTGCCTATGGTAATTAGGTTCAGAAATCCTGAGGCTTACTATCCAGAACATGATGGAGGCATCTGTCTATAGCTCATGACATGTCAAGCTATTGATCTACAGTGATCTACAACCATGGAACATCTAATCCAAGCCAGAGAAGGGATGAGACACTCTCCTTTCAGAGCCATTTCTAGCTTGGTGGCCATGTTCATTTTTCTCAAATAACATACACTTTCTGTGGCTGTGGCTGCTCTCACTCCCAGAACTACATTCCTATGGCCTGCAGATGTCTTGGCATTCCAGGGCTCAGGTCCCCCAGGTGCTCCTATAATGCATCCCCAAGCTTGGCATGGGGCATGGCCAGATTTATGGCTTAGAAGCTTGGCCATTTCAGCTGGGTCAGCAGTACTTTATATTGAATGAAAGGAAGCGAGACAGACAACCTAATTTGGGAGGGCAGTGGCTCCCAGGGCTACTTAAAGCAATGAATATTATTTTGCCACTCTGGGAGCGCTAGCAACTTGGAAACCTGACATCCTGAGTCTGAAATTTCTTTGCTTCCACAACAGACTCCCCTAGACTTCCACTGGCCTTTGAACTGTTTGGATGAGGTGGTTATTCAAACTTGAATGTGTGACTATCTACTTAGTAGGGAAAGCCACTCCCTCTGGCACATTAAACGCCATGTTCCAGATTGCTCTTTCACATTTGTACCTAGTTTCCCGTTGTCACATCCCATTCCACGCATGTCTTCTCTTCTCTGCTCCCAACGTGGTGTCTTGCAATGCACATTTATCGAATGAGTGAAATGAATTGAAAAATCCGAACGACTAGGAAATACCTAGTAAAAGATCCACAAGTAAGTATGTGCGTGTGTGTGTACCCCTTAAAGGCTGTCACTGACTGTGACACTAACTCCACAATGCAAGACCGTACCAGGCAGTCGCGGCAACACTGCCCATTCATTGGTCGGTGGCCAGAACGAGGGCCAGGCAAGCTACGATTCCTTTTGTCACCTTTCCCGGGAGACGCTCTGGGCGGATAAGCCAGCCTAGGAGGAGCTGGAGAACAGTAAACTTTCCTGCGTCTGAGGGTGGAGGTCCGGAGAGGTCCCGCTGGCGTGCAGGGATACCGCCTCAGATTTCGTGCCTAGGAGGCTAAGGGTTCAGGTGTATGCCAGATCACAGAGGGATGGGTTGCAAACCCAGCTCGAGTGTGCTCCGGCCTAATGGTGGTCCGAATGTTTGTCCAAGCGTCGCTTAGCCCTCCTCGGCAGCTCCTGCTGTGCCTCCCGGGCCGGAATCCCCTCTTCTTTCCTCAGGTGGGCACTTTAAGTATCCATCAGCACTACTGGCGGCGCGTCTCAGAGACTCAACCCGCAAAACAGCATCCGCGGGGGCGGGGCTTGGTGGGGTGGGGCTGAGGCTAGGCATCCCTTGGCCCGCCCCTTGGCTGGGTAGCGCAGTGATTGGACGGTTAGGAAGGCCTCCTGCCAGGTAAGGAGTGACTGGATGCCCGGCCAGATGCAGGACGGCGGTGGCCGAAAGCTGGGGCCCCCGGCAGGCCAGGGGTGATGGGTCCTTGGGCCCAAGTGGCCTCAAGAGAGAGTTTGCCCGCAGTTTGGGCGCCCAGGAGTGCTGCAAGCCTGCGGTTTCTCGTGTCGCCGAGGTCTTGCTGCTCTCGCTGGAATCCCGAAAGCATTTGGGAAACTTCTCGCCCCTACTCTTTGCTCCCCACTTTGGGTGGGAAAGCAGTTGCTGAGTTGTTTAATTTCCTCCGCCAGTCAGACTCTGTAAAAATAGCCTTACGCCGGGAAACTGAGCCAAGCCCTGCCGCACCGCTGCCCCGGGCCGGGTGTGTACCTAAAAATACCCCGCAGTTTGCAACTCGCGCTCGGGGTGCGGGCGGGTCCGGCCGGGCCGCAGAGGGCGTATGGAGACCGGAAAAACTGGCCGCCTGGCCCCTCGCCTTGGCCGGGGCTGTCCCTTTAAATCCTGGAGGAGGCAAAGAGAAAAAAGGAAAGCAAGAAAAAAGACAAGGAGCCCCGAGCGGCGGGTGGTTCTGCCCGGCCCCCCACTCCGCCCCCGCGCCGGCCTGACTCCCGCCCGCGTCCTCCGCGGGTCCCGCGCGGCCCTCGCGGCGCCGCCCACTAGCCACAGTTACTGTCAAAATAGAAATTAACGGAGCCGGAGGAGACTGGGACGCAGCAAGTGCATGTGTGGCAGGCACGGCGCGGAGGGGGCGGGCGCGAGCGGGAGGCGACCGCAGACATCCGGGCCCTTTCGCCCCGTGCGCCCCCCGAGCCGGCTGCGCGGTCTCCGGGCGCGGGTCGCGGGGCTGACGGCCGCGGCGCGGGAGGCGGGGCGGCGCGAGGAGGGCGGAGGCGCGGGCTGGGGAGGGAGGAGCTGCCCGCGCGCCCGCTGCTGCTCGGCTCCACACCCGCCGGCGCGGCCCCGCCACGAGACTCCGATGACAGGGGCTCAGCCGGCGCTGCTTGCGAGCGCCGGACCGACCGACCGCGGCGGCGGAGGAAGACGCGAGGATCGCGGCCCGGGGCCAAGTGCGGGAGGTGCTTGGGGCCGGCGGCGCGCATAGGTGAGGGGCTTCGCTGGCCGGCTCGGGCACCGGCTGCCAGGGGTCCCTCCCTCATCTCGGTCGCCCAAGCGGGTCGGGAGGTTGCGGGGTGCCGAGAGGGGGTCGCGCATCCGCCGCGTCCGAAAGCCATCGCGGGGGCCGTTGCTAGGAGGCGGGCGGTCCGCGCGCTCTGGGGCGCCGGCGGGGGCAGGGACGCCCTCAGCTCGCTGGGCAGGAGGCGGGGGGCTGCAGTGGCTATTCAGGGGCTCCGTGCGGCAGCCATGCAACCGGAGGAGGCGGGAGGAGGGAGAAGGGGGGAGTGAGGGGGAGAGCCAGAGGAGAGCGAGCCAGCGAGCGGGCGCCGCGCCTCCTGGCTGGCACCGCGGCCCGGAGTGAAGTGGCGCGCGGGGCTGGAAGGGAACTTCTGCAGACGCGTGCGGCCCTGGCTCTGCGGCGCCTCCGGGCCCAGGCGGGGCGGGACTGTTGGCAGCCACAGGTGGTTTCTTCCAAAAGTTTTACCGCACTTCTGCCGGAAAAGCGCGGAAGCATTTTGGGGAATGCCGGTTTTCTGGGACTTCAACATCCGTACCTCACACTGTCTTTCCTTGAAGATTAGGAAAAGGGTTGGAAATGCACGGAACCCACACTTCCGCAGTGAGACCTGAGGGTGGTCTTGTACTCAGGTGGCACATAGACTGGGTCTAAAATGCTGTCAAATTGGGAAGTTGAGAGAACTGGGCGTACTCACACAGTTCCTCCAAGCCTCGGTCAAGTTAAGCCAAGCCTTGTCCTGTACTTGTCGCCTTCGAGAGGCAGCTCTTCCTAGCGACACGCAGGGGAACCGCACGCGTCTTCGCTCACGGAGTGCGCATCTCTTGCTTGGTTGAAAGCGAATTTTCTCTGGCCTCTGTGCTGCTTTGTTATTCTGGCCGCTTGTCTGATTTCACTAGGAAGCAAGGCCAGGAGAAGCCAAAGAAAAGCGAAGCAGCAGCCCCCGTTACCTTTGAAATCTAAAGAGCTGTGGAGACTGGCTCCCTAGCTCAGGGCTGAGCTGGAGGTGGGTGGCCTGTGCTGCCTGTGGGCCAACCTTACGGGCCATTAGCAAGGCTAGGGATGGGATTTCTGGGGCTTCTGGGACGGAAAGAGGGATGGGGGTGGGAAGAGACGACCTCTTAGAAGAGGAAGATATGTTAAGTCCAGCGTCGGGAGAGGTTTGCAGATCTGGTGGCTTGGCCCCTGTCCTCATTGGTCAGGTTGACGAATCCAGGGCAGAGAGGTAGAACCACCCCGGTAGGTCCTGGGCTGAAAGAAATCATTATTCCCAGAGTGGGTCTGATACCTGGGTGTTACAAATAACTACAAAACTGTGACAGTTGGAAAACACCCAATCCTTCATTCTCTTTGGTCCTGCTCTAGTCCCCCTGCCCCCACAAAATCCCTGAACGGAAAAGGTGCTCCCTGCTTTAAAGAAGATCACAGAATTTGGGGGGTTGAAAACGATCTTCAATATTAGGAAGACTCATTTAACAAAGGAACAAGAAAGGAAAGTGACCTACCTCAGTGGTAAGAGGCCCAGGGAGACTAGAAATGACATTAGTATCCCAGGCCAGGATGGAGGGAGTTCTCTGGGTAAGGCCTTGTAGGTTCTGAGATGAGAAATGCCACTGCCAGACCCCAAGCACATTATGGGCTTATCTGGTACTTTCTAGATCCACATTTGCTAGGTAGTGTGGTGTATTTCCTATCCTGTGTCTTTGGCTTAACCAAATTGGGTCTGTCATTGCAAAGTCCAGTCTGACACTGTCCCAACTTTTCCTGATCCCTCATTACTCCAAACCCTGTAGATTCGTTTGGTAACATAATGTAGCTTGATTAGCCAAGATGAATTTGCAGCTTGTCTCACTGAAGCACCCACTTTCCATAGGATGCCAGAACTCTATTTTCCTGGTAATTAGGTTTTACAGATATTTTTGAAAGTGAGCCCAATTTTGGATCAATTACACTTGGACACAAATGCTGTGCTGTTGTAGATACCAAATGAGAAAGATGAGCAATTATCTGGGGGTGCTGGAAGAAATGTTGTTATGAATATTTGACACAGCTATTAAGCATCAATGAGTGGGTTCTCAGTAAATGTTTTTTACTCTGTATTTTATTGAGCAAACAAAGTGTCTTAATTAAAAAGAGCTGAGAGTTAGCCACTTAGATTTTAGCCACTTGTTTCTTACCATTGTGTATGGGAGGGGTGGGGAAGGAATAGAACGATAAACAGAATGATTAAGATAACTTTTTCCTCAAAGCAAAATATTGTAGGGCAGTGCTTAGTCTTCAGTCTATGCTGTTGTGTACAGTCAAGCAGAACCTTATTAAATCAAAAGAACTGTGGGTGTGGTATGCATCAATCTGTATTAGTCAGAAATGACTTAAAAGGGAGAATATTTTGTATGTTATATTGCTTTCTAGGACACGAAGTATCAAGAATTCAAGACTAATGCAGTGCCATTGAGTTTAATTCTTCCACTCTCCTGAACAGATAAGAGTTGCTATCAGGGTAGCTATGCTTTGGACTCCTGTGCAAGAACCAAGATTTGGTCTACCATTGATAATATGGTGTTACATTTCACTTTTATCACGTGCTAATCTCATTAGCATTTCCCACAGCTAGATGGTTCAGCTATTTGTTCATCCATAGATAGAGAAACTGAGGCAGAGTGAGGGGAAAGTGGTTTTCCTAAAACTTCTTCCACTGTATTAACATCCTGAACACGTGGCTTGGACTTGCTGGACTGACCACGGTGTAGGTGACTCCCTAGTTAAGTTTTCGGACCCTTGTCCCATCTAACACTGCAGTTACAGAGGAGCTTGGAGGGGTGGTGGGGTCACAGTTAAAGCTCATTGAAGACTGGTCCTCGGGGCATCTTGTTCCTCACCCCTGCTGAGGCTGGGCAGTTGTCCTTCCTCTCCTAGCAGGCTGTGGGGACTTGGGTGCTGAGGGACCAGCTGGCTGAGGCTGGGGAGGGGTTGTGGGATCTGTGCCTGTGAAGGGGTGAAGGAGTTCAAGCTATTTATAACTCCTCCTTCCCTCCTGGGAAAAGAGACTCAAGGGTCTGGAACCATCTGTGGCACTGATTTCTCCCTAGGATGACTGTGTCCCACTGGGAATAAACCTGCTACCCATCCACATTGGCATGGACCTCAGCCTGAGTGGAGGGATCTGTAGGGCTTCTTGGACTGTCAGCTGCCCTGGGGGATTTAAGATACAAGGATTTCCTGGGGCCAGTGCCTGCACCTTCTCTCAGGCACTGTCCCCACTGCACAGTGGAACAACCCCCCACTCCCACCCCGCAGAAATTAAGAACTACTAAAATGAGCACAGTTAGTCTTTCTGAATAATGACAAGAGTTCCTCTCCTCCCCTAAGTACTGGGATTTGAAGCAGGGAGCACTGAGCTAAATCTCCAGCTCTTTTTATTTATTTTATTGTGAGTCAGTCTTGCAAAGTTACCCAGGGGGCCTCAAACTTTTGATCCTCCTGCCTCAGCCTCCCAAGTAGCTGGATTACAGGCAAGTGCTACCACCCCCAGCTGACAATAGTTTTTATGCAAGAGATTCTGAAAGTGATGAATTAGACATGGTTCCTTTGACTCCAAGCTGAGGCATTTTTCTGTAGGGCTGGTGGAGGAGGTTTGAAGCAGGCCCTCCTCCCCAGCTCTACTCCAGACCTGTCCTGCTGCCCCCCTTGCCCACCCACTCTTTAACCGACACCAAAGTCCTCTTTTGTCTTGGAGTAAATAATACCTGCCATGTTACCGGTTACAGCTTCATTCCTGAAACTGAACAGATTTTCCCCTGGGTGGGAAGAGAAGGGAGGGGCTGAGAGGGAGGAGGAAGCCGCACCACTGGGCTGGTCTCTCTGCTTTGCCTCTTGGTGTGAGTTGATCTGCCCATCAGAACTGTTTGAAGGGCTCCCAGCAGGTTTTTACCAGCGGGAAAAGATTTAAGTAGGAGGCCCTGGATGGAGAAGAGAGTTGGGGCGGATGGCTAGGACAAGGGTGGCCTGGCATGGGTGGCACAGGCACATAAGCCTGTGCCCTTGAGGACACAGTTTGTGTGCTGTTTCTCTCCTTGTTCTTAGAGTGCAGCACAAGGGCTGGGTACAAGACATGTTTTTAGAACCAGTCAGGCTGGGCAGGGTGGATGGGTGGGTGGATGGCAGTCTGATTTGCTTTGTTGCTGTCAGCTTCCTCTGGGCACTGTGAAGGGCGTGTTGGGAGGGCAAGAACACAGCAGCAGAGTGGAGAAGAGATGGGGGTTTCATGGGCACTGTGAGAGCCCGGGGCCAGGCTGACTGGCTACTCCACGTCACAGTGATGCTAGGAGCGCCCCTCATGGATTCTGCACAGGATCATTTAGTCCTTTTGTTTGGCTGCTGTGGCCTGGTCCAAGCTCACACAGCAGCAGGCAGTGTGAGGTTCCTTCAGGAAGATAGGTCAGGCCACTCCCTCTGTGCTCCTGTGTGGCCAGTTCCTGCCTCTCTGACCTTCCCCACTCCATGTCCCACCCTCCTGACTCCTTGTTTCTTGCACACTTGGAGCTCTTGTGTTTCTCATGTGGCCATTCTCTGTACCTGAAATGCTCTTTCCTCTGATTCTCCCCAACTGACTTCTCCTTGTCATTTAGGTGTCAATGAAACATCACCCTGCACTATATTCTTTACTGTACACAACACTATTTGGGAGGAATCTTGTTTCTCCTCTTGTTTATTGTCTGTTTTTCCCATCGGAATGTAAGCTCCATGAGGCCAGAGACCTTGTGTGTTTTGGTCTGTGTTGTTTCTTCAGCACAGAGCTAGGCACATGGTGTGCCCAGATAAACAGCTGGTAGGCGATTTACACCAGTTTGTACTGTTGGGGTGTGTGAAGCTGAATCAGCCAGAGGCCCTGCCCTGTGGATCTCTTCAGCCTAGAGGCAGAAATAAAGCTACTTCATGTATATTTTGATGCACACCAGAAAGGGAAGGGG